AAAGTGCTTGGATTACAGGTGTGAGCCACCATGCCCCCCCAGCATTTTTTTTAAATAACTTTTTTTTTGCCTGTGACACACCCTCAGGAGATCCTAAGAAAATGTGCCCCCTTCCAAGCATTTTAAATGCCCCAAATCTCAAATTCATAGCCCTAACCTTCAAGTGACATTTAGGAAATAGCTATCAGTCTTTGGAGCTAGGAAGTACTTTGCTATCTCTGAAAAACTGGCACTTTTTTTCTTTCTGATATGAAATTTCACAACCTACCAACTTTCTCTATTCGCTGTGGCTGCTAGGAAGCTCAGGGTCAAAATTAAAGCTCAGATGAAACATATACATTGACACTACTTGTTATATTTGTTTTCTCTTCTTCAATGGAACTGATTTTCTATTTCAATTTGTATTTTACTATTTTATTACTCAAGTTCTTTTGAGAAGAAAAATGTTTTCAGTGAAAGTAAATCAAGAAATAGAATCGCAATGTTATTATTACTGGCGGCCCTTGGATAGTTAAGAGAATACATAACCATCATTAAAAATCAATGCCTGCAGCTACTAGGAAGAACAACTATTAATAATATTGGGAGTGCTTCCCCTGGATATGTTCCTCTAGCCCCCTTCTTATCAAATTTCATAGTTTATGTTTTAATTCAGACCATTCCATTTTTTTCCCCAAATCTGATAAAAAGAATAATTGCTGTCATTTTGCTGTGAGGGGGTTATTTTATTTTATTTATGTAGTTCTACTAACATTTTAAAATTCATTGACTCAATAAATATGTATCAAATGCTTACCATGAGCCAGGCATTCTTCTAGGTATTTAGGACTTATGAGCTTATGTCAGGGGAGGGGCAGGATTGTGGTGGAGGGGTAGGAGGTGAAGGGAGCAGAAAATAATTGTCCACTCCTATTAGAGTGGAGTCTGCCTAAATCATACAGAAGATACCGTATCCCTAGGTATATAAACATGTTTTAATAAACTATGAAAAGCATTCATTTAGGTTAAGAATAACCTTTCTAAAATAGGGTTCAAAGTACATTATACAAAATATATGGCAAAAGATAAAAGTTAATAAATTAAGAAAAATATATTAGCAATACATATGACAAGCAAAGGCTTAATCTTACAAAACGCGTTTAGCTCCTAAAAATGGGTAAGAGAAATACAAATAATACTATAGAAAATGAAAGAGTCAAGAATATGAACAGACAGTTTGCTGCAGTGGGAACTGTACATGGCCAGTAAGCAAAGGCAAAGATACTCAGCCCTTTTAGCAGTCAGGTAAACACGTTCTTCACTCATCAGAGTTGCAGTAATTTATGAGGTTAGGAATAATCTATGCTGGTAAAACTATAGGAAATTGAGTATTTTCACACTTACTGGGTAACTATAGGAAATAAAATAACTCTTTCATCTAGTAATATTACAGTAAATTCCACTCTGTGACAGCAGTTCCACTTTTGCAAACTTTTCTAATAAAATAAAAGGACCGGCCGGGTGTGGTGGCTCACGCCTGTAATCCCAACACTTTGGGAGGCCGAGGTGGGCGGATCACGAGGTCAAGAGATGGAGACCATCCTGGCCATGATGAAACCCGTCTGTACTAAAAATACAAAAATTAGCCGTGTGTGGTGGTACGCGCCTGTAGTCCCAGCCACTCGGAAGGCTGAGGCGGAAGAATCGCTTCAGCCCAGGCGGCAGAGGTTGCAGTGAGCCGAGATTGCGCCACTGCGCTCCAGCCTGGTGACTGAGCAAGACTCCATCTCAAAAAAAATAAATAAATAAAAATAAAAATAAAATAAAAGGACCAACATAAAAGACTATTTTTTGCAAGTACTAGTGTAACTAAATGTACTACAATTTATAGTTTATTACAATTTATGGTAGGGTGACAACACTGGCTATCAATCCAGGTATTTTGATTGAATAAAATGTTTATATTATAGAGCAGCATATTGCATTAAAATAGTAATTTTAATTTTTTAATATATGTATATGCATATATATATATATATATATATATTTTTTTTTTTTTTTTTGAGACGGAGTCTTGCTCTGTCACCAGGCTGGGGTGCAGTGGCATGATCTTGGCTTACTGCAACCTCTGCCTCCCAGGTTCAAGCAATTCTCCTGCCTCAGCCTCCCAAGTAGCTGGGATTACAGGTGTGCACCACCACACCCGGCTAATTTTTTTTGTATTTATATTAGAGATGGGGTATCGCCATGCTGGTCTCAAACTCCTGATCTTGTGATCTGCCTGCTTCAGCCTCCCAAAGTGCTGGGATTACAGGCGTGGGCCACCATGCGCGGCCAATTTATATATTTTTTATCCTGGTGAGATGGCCATAATATATTAAGGTAAAAAACCCAAATTTGCATATATATGTTGTGTATGCATGTGTGTGTGCAATTTCATGTTAAAAATCTCATAAACACACATATATGATTTGTGTAAACTAGAGAAAAGTGAGAAAGGATATACTATCAGTTAGCATTGATGAATTCAGTGTTTGGAATAGAGGTAGATAGAATGGAGAGGCTTTTCACTCATACACCTCTGTGTATGGCTTGTGGAAACTAGCATAATTAGTAATAACATTAATAATAATGATTAAAATGACAGCCAACATTTAAGGAGAGTTTATCAGAGAGTATTCTAAAATTTTAATCTCATTCAATTCCTGAAACAACCTCATGAGATGGTAATACTATCAGCTTCACTGTTTTTTAGATGAAGGAATGAGGCTCAGAGGGGTTGAAGTCACTTGCCAAAGGCAACACTTTTAATAAGCAGCAGACCAGAATATAAATCCGAATAGTTATATCCAATGAAAGATTAGTTTATTAATGAAAAAATAATAAATTGAGTATCAAGAATTGCATATTTTTGAAAGTTGCAATTGCAAATACACTGGGCATTTTTGCTCTATATTTTCATGATGTTTAATCATCAACTTTATTTTTTTATCTATTTTTGAGACAGGGTCTTGCTATGTCACCCATACTGAAGTGCAGTGGCACCGTCACAGCTCACTGCAGCCTTAACCTCCCAGGCCCAAGTGATCCTCCCACCTCAGCCTCCTCAGTAGGTGTGACAACAGGTGTATGCCACCACACCCAGCTTCTTGAACTCCTGAGCTCAAGTAATCCTCGCACCTCATACTCTCAAACTGTTGGGATTGTAGGAATGAGCCACTGGACTTGGCAATCACCAAGTTCACATATAACCTTAGGAAATTTAATTCATCTATGTCTTAACTTCTACATTGACCAAATATCTTTTATTTTATGGCTATAATAATAAGCCATATTATACTCCTTTGCACATATAGATCGATATAAAATATTGAACAGTTGTATATGCTATGTTCTAATAATTGCCAATAGCTATTGTGTTCTAATGTGTTTTAACTATACATGTAACTGGGCTGAAGTAATAAACTTCACACATTTAAAAATTGTGAGTTAAATCTTCTCTGAAGTTGTCCAGACTATGGGAGAGCTAAATGCGTGCACGTGAGGAATAGCAAGGCCATCTGCTTGTCTACCAAACACGGAACTCTGCCGTTTTATCTTGATCCACTTGCTGGTGTCAGTTATGTATGTATATATACATATATGAATATCCCAGTTACATTACACTTAAACTTTCTCTGCTTCCTGAAAACAATTATTGTTGGTTAAGGAATTTACTTTTAATGTAATTTTATGTTCTACCAGGGCTTTATTATGGTTATGACTATGCATGGTACAGATGTACTAATGAGGCTATTTGTTCTAAGTGAAATATGTTCACTGAGCCCTGTGTCTAATTTCTGGTTGGCTATACTCTTAGTTAATACACTTTTGAGGAAAGGTGGATGTTAAGCTTTGACTATTCCCTGGTTTATAGTCTCTCCAAATCTTTTCCTATATGCCTCCCAAATACAAAATAATTTGTGTAATTTTTGGAGGGTGGTAGGAAAAAAGAAAAAGAAAAAAAAAAAAGAAAGCAGCTTAACAGTTGTTTAAAAAGTAGCTTCCTAAAAGAGACACTCAAATATGGTCCTTTTTCTCATTTATGCCATGTTTGGCCCAAGTTTCTTCTGAAATACTAAGTAACCTATGGAGTTCCTTCTGTCACATCCATTCAGGTGTCAACGAGTGTTGAAATCCCCTCCTTGCAAAGTCCCCTCATTATTCCACCACCCTCTGGATCTTTCAACTCCACAACTACAAGGATAGTTTGTGGCAGAGGACTTCTATCTCTAGGTCACTATTTGAGCTTTATGAAAGTGAGCTGAGTGGTCAAGGCTCAATGTTGTTAAATATTTCACATGCAAATACTGCTTTCCTATGTATGTGTACACACTGGGCCATAATATAAAATATACTTATTCCTGTGGGTCATACTTTTTTTTTTTTTGAGACAGGATCTTGTTCTGTTGCCCAGGGTGGAGTGCAATGGCACCAACTCAGCTCACTGTAGCCTCGACTGATTGCAGCCCCTGCCTCCCAGGTTCAAGTGATTCTCCTGCCTCAGCCTCCCAAGTAGCTGGGACTACAGGCACTCACCACCATACCTGGCAAATTTTGGTATTTTTGGTAGAGATGGGATTTCACCATGTTGGCCAAGCTGGTCTTGAACTCCTGATCTCAAGTGATTCCCCCAGGCTGGTGCTGAACTGACCTCAAGTGATTTGCCTACCTTGGCCTCCCAAAGTGCTGGAATTACAGGAGTGAACCACCGCGCCTGGCCTGGGGTCATACATTTTATAAAAGTACACGCTGGGTCAGCCATTGTGTAAAACATATTTATTTCTGTGGTTCATAATTTTTTAAAAGTTTGAAAGTCACTGTTTTTTAGGCAATAATGAGTGTAGAAACGAATGTTTTTAGATCACTGCTTCCTCAAGGAAAAGATCACCCTTGCAGTCTTGAGGCTGAGAATTTTGTTGAATTTATATTTACATTGTTGAAGAAAAAAAATAATGCATGATACTTGTTAAAGACAGCAATAAAGACTTTATTCAAGGAGACACTATCCAATGGAATCTTGTAATGGTAGTGACAGATTGGGCTCAACTATGAATACAAAGACAACTAGTGATCTAAGCTAAGGAGCAGGATTACTAAGGGAAAATTTTCGAATAACGAAGGATTCTGGCTAAACCAATTTAATGGGATTATTGCTGAAGGCAGGCCAGGGTGCTAAAATATTGATAACAGGGGATAAGGAATTTGATTAGATAACAAGTATGGCCAAATACTAAGGGTGAGGCATTTTTGCCCAACTGACCCAGCAGGATTCTTGCTAAAACTGGACTAAATGGACAGAGCCACTAAACTAAGGACAGAGTTCCGGGTCAGGACCTAGTCAGAAAGAGGGCTTAGAGGAACCTGACTCAAGTTTAGTCAAAGGAGAGGTTCTTTGTCAATACTACCTCCCTAGCAAAACTGGCTTTTCACCGGGTATCACACGGAGGACTTTTGGTTGTTATCTTCAAATGGAAGACAGCACAGGGAGGAGAAGCAAGCTCTCTCCTGATTCTTCTAAGGTCACTAATCTCATTCATGAGGGCTCCATATTTAATCCTAATTATCTCCCAAAGACCTTACCTTCTAGTTTCTAATACCATCACACTAGGGGGTAGAATTTTCCTTCCCTTCCTTCTTTACTTCCCTCCCTTACTCCCTCCTTCCCTGCCCAGGCTGGAGTGCAGTGGCGCCATCTTGGCCCACTGCAACCTCCGCCTCCTGGGCTCAAGCGATTTTCCTGCCTCAGCCTCACAAGAAGCTGGGACTTCAGGCTAGCGCCACCACGCCGGCTAATTTTTGCTGAGCCTGGGTTTCACCATGTCGCCCAAACTGGTCTGGAACTGCTGGGCTCAAGTGATCCACCGGCATCGGCCTCTCAAAGAGCTGGAATTACAGGCGTGAGCCACGCCCCGTCTAGAATTTCAACACATGAATGGGGAAGGGGGCAGAGAACACATACAGTCAGTAACAGCCAGGGACTAGAAGACTTTGGTTCACCATAAAAAGCAGGACTTATGTTTCTTGGATACCAGTATTGCTACTTATCTACAGGGTGCAGAATACTTAGGGCTTTGTAGATTCATACTGATGGCTAAGTTTATTTATTTATTTATTTTTAAGACCGAGTCTTGCACTGTTACCCAGGTTGGAGTGCAGTGGTGTGATCTCGGCTCACTGCAACCTCCGTCTCCCACGTTCAAGCGATTCTCCTGCCCCAGCCTCCCGAGTAGCTGGGATTCCTGGCGCACACTACCACACCCAACCAATTTTTTGTATTTTTAGTAGAAATGGGGTTTCACTATGATGGCCAGAATGGTCTTGAACTCCTGACCTTGTGATCCGCTCGCCTCAGCCTCCCAAAGCATTATTTTTAACCTGTGGTTCAGAGACAGTGACATTGCCTCTCAGAAGCAGGTTTTCTAAAAGAAAAAGAAAAGGAAAGCCCCAATTCGTAAGACTGAAAAATGTCTTCTTTCATTTATCATAGTGAACTAAGGGGAGGGGGGACCTGAGGATAGGCAGTATATATGTAAATGCAAAAAGCACTTTTGAGCTTTCTATATAGTACCCGATGGGGGAAAAGCATGTTGTTCAGGGATCTCTGGCTCATTTTATAAGATGGGGTAGACAATACTATGTAATTATTCGAATTGCTTTGTCTTGCTGCATGGCTTTGTCACCATCTGATTTTGCAATTACTTTAACAAGCAAAGGAAATGCCAGAGAAGTTCAGGATCTGGGACCTCCTCACCCTTGTAGCATGTCAGGTCTCAGGCAGGAGACAATAATGCCCAAGGCTGACTGTGGAACCCATGTTAAGAGAGAGAATGGCTTTGAGCCTGGGTGGGTGAGCATGCCTTGTTCCCAAGGTCAATATTTACATGTAGGGTTACTTTCACCTTTGGTACACTTAATCAGGCGCTGATTATGTTCCATGGCATCATCCAGACTTCAGGACTTTGGAGGAAAGCTGGGGCAGGAGACTGCTCAAGTGCATTTGACAATAAAATGCTTTGTGCAGCCAGATGTAAATTGCACTTGCCCATACGCTTATACTAAACCATGAGCGGGGCTGACCCATATGGAGCTGGGCTTTTCTTTGCCCGGAGACTCTTGTGAGATCCGTAAGGCTGAGAACTCGGCCAACCACTTAGGCTTTTCGGCAAGATGCAACCCTAGAAGGCGGGTCACTGCTCTGCACCAGCTGCCAGTCAGAGAGACAACAAATAAAAATGGAAGATCCTTCTCCGTGAGAAAATAGGCCTCGGACTAAAAGCGGGGGGCCTGAGAGGAAGGTGAGCAAAGAAAGGCAAGGCGAGGGCGCAACTTCAAGAAGCCGGGTTCATTCAAACCCCGAGGACAGCAAACCCCGCCTCCCCACGCCGCCGCCCGCTCAATCGCCGAGCGCTCCCGGTGTGAGCTCGCCCCGCGGGGAGCGGCTTGGAGCCGAGGAGGCGGTGGCAGAGGTGGTTTGGGCAGCCCCGCGCGGCGGATAGGCCCAGGCAAACAACACCCATTCCCCCTCCTCCTCACTCAGTTCAACTCCCACTCGGCCCCGGCCACGCCTTGCCGCCACCGCCCCCTCGGGCAGCTTTCCGCCCGGCAACCAGGCCTCGGTCGGGGGCGGGAGAGAGGCGGTGCCTCGAAGCCGCCGCGGCCGCCGGAAACTACGAGTGCCGACAGCCTTTGCGACATTCCCCCGCCCCTCCCTTCCCCCTCCCCCCCCCCACCACCACTCAGCGCGCGTCACCGGGGGCTCAGCCAATGGAGACCGAGCCAGGGAAAAAGGGCGCCCGCGTCCGGATGCGCCTCAGGAAAGCCATGCTCCCTGCGCGGGGGCAGCGGACAGTTCACAAGGCGCACCGAGCTGTCGGTGGTCCGCGCGCGCCCACGTCCGCCCCTCTCGCTTGCCGGAGCGAAGGCCCTACATTTTTCTTTAGTGGCAATTGGAGAGATGCTGGAGCGGGTTTTTGAGTGGAGGGCGCTGGGAAATGAGTAGGGGGCGGGATATCCTGAGACAACAAGTTTGGCTGTATGGAGGGCCTACTGGCAGCGCTCTTGAGTTAGAACGCCGAGGAAAGAGCGGCAGAGGAGCCACAGAGGAGGAGAAGAGCTGCTAAAAGAATAACCCTGAGAAAGGGGGTGGAGAGGAGGCGGCCCCAACGCCCCGGCCCCCGGCAGGTCGGCGGCCAATCCGCTGGGGGAAGGGGTGGAGAGTCGGAGGCTCCGGCGGAGAGAGGCCGAGGGGGGTGGGGAGTCGGCAGGGCTCGCGCCGCCCTGGCCCCGCCCCCGACCCGCGCCGCCGCCCGCGCCGAGCGCCGCCGCTGTCAATCAAGGGCGAGTCAGCCGGGCTCGGGCGGAGAGAGGAGCTGCTACGCCACAGCCCAGCGGCGGCCATTCGTGGAAAAAGAGGCAGAGCCTGTGCCAGCTACAGCCTCCTCCGAGCCACCGCGGGCGGGCGGGACCGGCCTCTCCTCCCGCCTCGCCCCCACCCCCACCCACCTCTATCCCAGTGTCTCCGTCTGAGGGTTTGTCCTGTTAATGCGGGATGAGCGGTACGTATTCTCCACCCCCCTCGGTCTCCTTCGCCGCCTCCCTCTCTCCCTCCCTCCCCAGACCCTGCTCGGTTCTCCCCCCTCCCCCGGGGCCGCTGAGATGCTTTAAGGGGAGGAGGAGAGGGCGGGAGGGAATCAGGGGGAGGGAAGGAGGGTTGTGTTTTGTCTTAATGTCTGAGAGAGAACAACCTCCTTCTGGGTGTTGCTCTGGAGCCGATGGGTCGGGTTTCAAACCACGTTTTGTGATACCCCCTCCTCCCTTTCCTCCTTCTCCCCCACCCCCTGCCGGTGTGCGTGGATCTCGGGTTTATGGAGATTAATGTTCGGGGGGAGGGGGGAGAAGAGGAGAGGGAGAAGACGAATAATAATAATCCTAATAACCTGTTGTCGTGTGTGTGTGTGTGTGTGTGTGTGTGGTTGGGGGGTTTGTTGCAGATCAGAAGAAGGAGGAGGAGGAGGAGGCGGCAGCGGCAGCGGCGATGGCTACAGAAGGAGGGAAAACCTCTGAGCCAGAGAATAACAATAAAAAACCCAAAACCTCAGGCTCCCAGGTAAAAGCAAACAAATAAAAAAAAATTCTTAACGACACATCAGGAAAGAGAGGGAGTTATGCCCTTTAAATGCCCAGAAGTAAAGAACAGAATAAAAATGTTTGTCCATCAAAGCATCTTTCTGAGAGTGAGGAACTTAAATTGTAATTTCATCAAGATTTCACCTCTTTGAGGGTATAACGCTGTTTAAAATTACCTCAGGAATTCAGACTATAAGAAAACGGTGTGTGTGTTCCCAAGGGCATTTTGAGTTTAGGAACAAAACACTTTACAAAGTTTTAAAGAAATTTCCTTTTATTTAAACTTGATATTATAGGACCTGCTTCCTTATTCATATAGTTCTTACCTACTTTTGTTCGTATTTCTTTTTGATTTCTACTGCTTCCTAAGTTCTGTTATGTAGAGTTGTCAAAATAAATAAGTAACCCCCTGGCAACTACTGGCCTCCACTAAATCCACCCACTTTTTTTTCCCCCTTCTGCTTCACCGCCCTATTTTGGGTAGGACTCTCAGCCCTCTCCTCTGGCTTTACTGGCAGCTACTTGCAGCAAAATAGGGACTCCTGGTGAAAATCAAGCAACTGGACAACAACAAATTATTATAGATCCAAGCCAAGGATTGGTGCAGCTTCAGAATCAACCACAACAGCTAGAACTGGTAACAACGCAACTTGCTGGAAACGCTTGGCAACTTGTTGCCTCCACTCCTCCTGCTTCAAAAGAAAATAACGTTTCTCAACCAGCTTCTAGTTCATCTAGTTCTTCCAGCAGTAATAACGGGAGTGCATCTCCTACAAAAACTAAATCAGGTAATTCTTCCACCCCTGGTCAATTTCAAGTCATACAAGTACAAAATCCAAGTGGTAGTGTACAGTACCAAGTGATTCCACAACTTCAGACAGTGGAAGGTCAACAAATTCAAATCAATCCAACTAGTAGTTCATCTCTACAGGATTTGCAGGGTCAAATTCAGCTCATTTCTGCAGGTAATAATCAAGCTATACTCACAGCTGCTAACAGGACAGCTTCTGGGAATATTCTTGCTCAAAACCTGGCAAATCAGACAGTTCCAGTCCAAATTAGACCTGGTGTTTCAATACCACTTCAGTTACAGACTCTTCCTGGTACTCAGGCTCAAGTTGTAACCACCCTACCAATTAACATTGGAGGTGTGACTTTAGCTTTGCCAGTGATAAACAACGTGGCTGCTGGAGGAGGGACTGGGCAGGTTGGCCAGCCTGCTACTACTGCTGATAGTGGGACTTCCAATGGGAATCAGTTAGTTTCCACACCCACTAATACCACTACTTCTGCCAGTACTATGCCGGAATCTCCCTCCTCCTCCACTACCTGCACAACCACTGCTTCAACATCTCTGACAAGCAGTGACACATTAGTGAGCTCAGCAGATGCAGGCCAGTATGCAAGCACGTCAGCCAGTAGTTCTGAACGCACCATTGAAGAATCTCAAACACCTGCTGCTACTGAGTCTGAAGCCCAGAGCTCCAGTCAGCTACAGCCTAATGGAATGCAGAATGCACAGGATCAATCAAATTCTCTTCAGCAGGTGCAAATTGTAGGCCAACCTATCTTACAGCAGATCCAGATCCAACAGCCTCAACAACAGATCATTCAGGCGATTCCACCACAGTCATTTCAACTCCAGTCAGGGCAGACAATTCAGACCATCCAGCAGCAGCCTTTGCAGAATGTTCAACTTCAAGCAGTAAATCCGACTCAGGTGCTTATCAGGGCTCCAACTTTAACACCTTCAGGGCAAATCAGTTGGCAGACTGTACAGGTTCAGAATATTCAGAGTCTTTCAAATTTGCAAGTACAGAATGCTGGGTTATCCCAACAATTAACCATCACCCCAGTGTCTTCAAGTGGTGGCACAACCCTTGCTCAGATTGCTCCTGTGGCTGTTGCTGGTGCCCCAATAACTTTGAATACTGCCCAGCTTGCATCAGTGCCTAACCTTCAGACAGTGAGCGTTGCCAACCTGGGTGCTGCAGGTGTTCAAGTGCAGGGAGTTCCCGTTACAATCACTAGTGTTGCAGGTAAGTTATGTCTTTTTAAGTACTTTTTAAATCATTTTCATAACAATCATTGCTTTTCTTTGCTAATTCTTAGGTTTGACATAGCCTTTGAAGTAAACACATAATCATAAGGAACCAGAAACAGGAATATTATAGTAACAAACATAGCTCTGTAGTAATCAGTGTGACATGTTCACTTTTGTAGATTTTATGATGTTAGGTTTTATGTGTTAAATTTGTTAGACAGTTTTAAAAAAAAGTATTATTTTTTGAGACAGAGCTTTCTGATTAGAATCATAATTGCCTTCTGTAATTTAGTGGTCTTATTTCAGTACGTTCGAACTTTTCAGAAAGAACCCTAGTCAAAATAATATTTATCTCTTCTTTAAGGGAAAGTAGTGTTAAACTGAATTGGTATATGTAACTGTGAATCTGTTAAACTTTTAATTCTGTGGTATAATAAGGCTAACTTTTTTTTAATGGAAGTTATTTCTCAAGCTTCAGTATCTTGTGACCCATACTTTTGTGTTTTATTACACTGGACTAGATATTGATGCAGTTGAGAGATAGTTTTATGTTGTGAATTGTTTGGTTAAATTTTATGTCTACTTTTAAGCTAATACCAGCATTTGAATTTATAATCCTTCATTTATAGAATTATATTTAATTAAATCTTATGGTCATTGTGTGATTTGTAGATGTTTAACGTAAGATTTGTGGAAAGCAATGAAAAATGTTGACAGAATTTACTAATTTGAATTAATTGTGGTAAAGTTATTTTTAAACCAATTTTAAAAGTAGTTGTTATTTGTTATGCGTACAAATAGATGCTTCTGAAGTACTTGGCAAGCAGTTTAATCTTTTTTGGACCAGTCTTGTCCCTAATAACTTTTGTTTTCTAGTAATTAAACCCTTTTCATTGATTCTGATTTGATGAAAACCTCGTTGTGTTTAGTGCCTTTGATACTTTCAGACCTTGTCAATTAAATATTTCTATTTTGATATTCTGAGATCAATTAAGTTTATCGCTTTTGAATGACCTTTTTTGAAATAAATTGTCAAAAAAATATGCTAGGGTTCTTATTTTATGGTTAATACCTCAAGTAGATGTATATGTGTAATTGTAAATTGCCTGGTAAAACTTTCTGATTCAGGAGAACTGAGATTATAGTTTTTATGTAGATACCCACTACTTCTAGACCAGCGCCATCCAGCTGGGAACGCTCTGTGATGTTAGAAATGTTTGTGTGTCCTATCTAAAATGTTAGCTGCAGGCTACATGTGGCTCCTAAGCGTTAGGTATGGCTGGGGCATCTGAGCAACTGAATTTTAAATTTTATTTAATTTTAATTGAAGTAGCCACATGTGGCTAGTGGGTTCTTTATTGGCAAGCGCAGTAATTTAGTGTTTTGAGTGTGGTATTTTTCCCCTAAAACTGTTACAGTGTAATTATATAAGTGTTTCTCTGGTTTACAGTCCTTAACTTGCTTTGTTTCTACTCCTTTGCTGAAAACTTTGACAATAATTGTAGTATTTCAGAAAA